ATCATGTCACTTGGAATGTACCCAGTGTTATAAATGTCATTTAACAGTTTAGTTGATATTTCTACCCCAAATTCCCCCAGTACTTCCATTTCTTCTACTGAAATTTCATCTGGCCCAGCTGACCTTCCTTTCTTCATATGTTCAATAGCATCGCTAACTTCTTCCTTTAGTACAGACCAACCTTCTAAATTTCTGTCATGGTAATTCTGCTCTCTTTCCATCAACTCTCTTATGTATTCATTCCATCTAGTTATTATATCATCTTCCTCCATTAAGATCTCTCATGCATTTGATTTCAGACATCCTGTGTTTACTCGTATCTTTCTTCCAGTTAGATCGTTAATTTGTTTATGCACACTTTTTGCATCTTTAACAGGACTGTGTTCAATTTTATTGCATTGTTCATTTAGCCACTCTTCTTTTGCCCTCATACACTTATGCCTTTTTTCTTTATTTATCTTGTCATATTCTTCTTTGTCATTCATACCCTGTTTTCTGTTACCCATTAACTTTAAAATGTCTTTGTTTATCCATTTCTGTTTAGCTATTCAGTTGTTTTTCTGGTAAAATCTCTTTGCTTGTTTGATGGATAGACTCTTTCAGCATTTCCCACTGATCGTTTATTGTTTGTATTTTTGGTATTGCATTGTACCTGTTCCTCACAACCACTCTTTATCGCTCCTGAATGTCTTTATCCTTTCTTAGAATATCCTTGTTTAGTCTACAGTTTTTCATCTCTTTCTTTCCCCTCTTCAGTTGTACATTTAATTTTCCACATAATAGGACGTGGTCACTGTTACAGTCAGCACTTGGTCTTGTCTTCACATTTGTTAGTGCATTTCTAAACCTTCTGTTAATTAGTATATAATCTATTTGATTAAATGTTTTCTTATCTTGACTTGTCCATGTGTATAATCGTCTCTTAGGTTGTTTAAACCAGGTGTTTCCAATCATCATATCATTTATTTTCACCCACTCTACCAGTTTCACCTCTTTCATTTCTTGATCCTAAATCATAATCCCAAACTACAACTTCCCTGTACTGGTGTTTATTTTGAGTCCTATTTTAAGGGCTGTTGTTGAAAGTCTTTCAATCTTTTCCTGAGCGTCCTCAAGATGGCTTGATATAAGGCTGATGTCATCTGCATAGTCCAAATCCTCTAAAACAGAGGGGAGTGACCACATCATGCCTCTTTTTCTATCTCGTATAACTTCCTTCATCAGCGAGTCAATGGCCAAATTGAACAAAAAGGGGGATAGTATGCATCCCTGTCTGACTCCTGTGTTGACAAAGAAACTTTCTGTTGTATGATTATCACAAACTACCTTGCATTGAAACTCTAAGCAAATGGCTTTGATCAAATTTACTATTTTCTGTGGTACACCACACTGACGCAAAATCTTCTATAGTGATTCCCTATGCAGGCTATCTAAGGTTTTTTCAAAATCCACAAACTGCACTACTCCATTCGTTACTTTGTTCAATTATTTGACGCAGTGTGAAGCCGTGATCAATACATGATTTCCCCTTTCTGAATCCTGCTTGCTCTTGACTTATTATACAATCAAGTGCTCCAGTCATTCTTTAAAGAATTATCTGGCTAAAGATTTTACTAGTTACTGACACTAATATTATACCTCACCAAGTGTTATAGTTTCCTAAATCTCCTTTCTTTGGTAATTTAATAAAAGTAACTTTTTTCCACTCCAGTGGGATTTCTTCTTTGTTCAAGATTTCTTGAAAAATCTTACACAAAAGTTTGTGCATTTCAGTTTCCTCCACTTTCAGCATTTCTGGGCAGATTCCATCACACCCAGGTGCTTGGTTAACCTTTTGAGCTTTAATTGCCTCCTTAACCTCTGCCTCTGAAAAAGTATCTAGGCTAATCTGTAGGTCTTCCTGTGCCTCATGTATATCAGCAAGTACAGGTGGGTCTAGACAGTTTAGTAATTCCTTGTTCTTTCCACCTTTTTAATTTTTCTTTATCAGCTGTAATCATTTTCCCACTCTTTGTTTTTAAAGGCAAATTTTGGTGCGATACCACATCTCCTTTCAGTTTCTTAGTTATGTTGTACAATGTTTTGATGTCCTGCTTATTTGCTACTTCCTCTGCTTCTGTTACTATTTTTCAATATACAAAACTTTATCTGCTATTGCTCCTGCTTTAACCTCATTGTTCTTTAGTGCATATTCATTAGAAAGTTTTCCTTTCAATCTGGCTGATTTTGCATCTGACATTTGTCTTTTAATGTTTTTCAATTGTGCAATTTTCTCCCACGTCGATTGGGTAATCCACTTCTCTTTTTTTTACCACCTATATCCTAATGTTTTCTCCCCTGCTAATTTGACTGCTTTATTAAATTTGTCATAGTTACCATTTCTGTTTCTTCTTGTAAGATGCTGAATCTGATTTTGAGTTCTATCTTAAATTTCTGTTTGATATGTGTGTCCTGCAATTTTCCTACACCATATCGCTGCCGCTGCCCTATTTATGTCAACTTTTATGACATGCTTGTTGGGAGGTGGGGGAGGGGGTGACGAGGGGTGGGGAGAGCGTGGGTCTATTATGTTTCCCCCAAAATGGGGCCCTGAAACCTAAACAGCGATTTAAAAAATATATATATATATATATATATATATATATATATATATATATATAATATATATATATATATATATATATATATATATATATATATATATATATATATATATATAAAATACTGGTTATGTTCCAAAAGACCTGAAAACATCTACTTTTGTTGATGTGATTGATTGATTTGATTCAAGAACTGACATCCCAGCACTCGGGGCATTCCCATAAGCGCTCCATCCCCATCTTCAGCAGCCAGCAAAGAGTTCCGATACTAATGGTGCCAGTAGCTTTCTGATTAAACGTCCGTCTTGCCTTTTCTCTGAGCCTTGAGCTTCTGCCAGAACCTCTCGTCACCTCCAACTGCATCAATCTCACGAGACTGTGGTGATCCATCTGCTCCTCCGCATTGTACACGCTCTCCCACAAGGCACTAACCACGTCTGCCCTAACATGTAGCAGTATTCCACCAAGTTGTGCAGAGCCAGCCAGTCTGTCCGCCTGTTCATTTCCCAACACACCGGCGTGCCCTGGTGAAAAAATCCAGACAATACTCCTCACTTGTGTCCTCGGCAGCGAAGAATGCCACTCTGCACGAAGCATACCTGTTCTGATCTTCCTCAGCATGCTTTCTGAATCAGTTACAATTACAATGTGTGTGTGTGTCGTGTTCTCTAGCCAGCGGAAAGCTGCAGTGACCGCCTCCACCTCCATTCTTAAGCTGGATGTTGTGGTATCATATGCTAGGCTCTCCTTCACCAAACGTCGACCAATAACTTTTGCTAAGAAGCCCCAAGCACTTCTTTTGCCTCTTGACACTGAACCGTCTGGGTAAATTATCAAATCCTCTGAGCGACCATTATCTTGAATTAATTGCTGAATTTGCACCTGCTGGCCAGTCTCTGCATTCCCGGCTCAGTGTGATAATGACTCTACTTTAGTCACACCCTCAAGAAGTTTCTCAGAATCATACAAGACAGAATTCAAGATAAAATAACTAATAGAGTTTCTCAGGAACCAATTGTGTTCCAGAAATACAGTGGCACTAGAGAAGCCAGAATTTGTCTAAGGGTGCTCACTGGAAATTATATAGAAGTTCACAACAATATTTATGCATGTTTATACAAGTGGTGAGAATGCCTTCGACACGGTGCAACATGAAAAGTTTATTGCATGCTTCCAAAATATAGTATTAGTTGGAAATAGTGTCAGAATTATTTGTAACTTTTACTGGGAACAAACAGCAACAGTTAGAAACCATATTGACTCACCAAAGATAAAGATAAAAGGTACATAAGGGATGTGTGTTATCTTCTAGCCTTTTCAACTTATACACAGAAAACACTTTTAAGTTGGAGAACTGCCTGGACCGAAAATCAATGGAAGAATAATAAACTATCTATTAAACTATTTCAGATACAGTGATGACAATATTACTAGCATAAAGTAAGCAGGAGTTACAGCACACAGTAGATCAAGTAGAAAAGACAGCTTGCAGAGTAAGGTTTAGACATTAACATCCACACACAAAAAAAAGCTATGATCATTAACACTGGAAAAGAGTGACCTACAGTGAACATCACTGTAAACAGAGAGATATTAGAATAAGTAATGAGTTTCTCCTATCTCGGACATGTAGTAACAGAATATTTTTGACAACTAGAGAGATAAATAAAATATTCAAAATGTTAATCATAAAATGTTATCCATACTCAACCCTTCTGTAAGGGACTGAATCCTGGACAAGGAATAAGCAATTAGAAAATCAAATTGAGGTCTCTGGAAATGTGGGTATACAGAAGAATAGGTGGTATTTCATGGAAACAAAAACAAATCAAATACAGAGGTTCTAGAGACTCTGAATGAAATGAGAGTTTCTAAAAGAAATTTGAAAAAAGAAAAAGTTTTGTTTAAAGAGACAAGTTGAATATTTAGGCCACATTAAAAGACATAATACTCTTTCAAAAACCCTAGTGAGGGGAAATGTTGAAGGCAAGAGGTAGACAAGGATACAAGTGATAGGACAACATTAAGAGATAGATTGACAGCAGTTTGAACTAAGACAAGAAACAGTGTACGGGATTCATTGCAGCCAACTGTCCTTGTGGGGAGGGTATCTGATTGTTTGATCACAAAAAGTTTTTACTGCATAACTGAGTTATTTGTAAAAGGAGTTCTTAAAAATGTATTAAAGAAAATGTCACTAATGAAGATAACAAACAGGATGCAAGTTTATAACCACCTACTAATGACCAAGTTAGGGCTTTCTTGATACCCAGTACAGAAGTGCAGCTTTTTTTTTTTTTTTTTTGGGGGGGGGGGGGGGGGGGAGGGGGGGATCCCATAGACACTTAGCCACAAGATAATAACTGATAAACAGAAGCAGCAGCAATAACAAATACAAACCTGAAGCTCCTGAAAATGGATCTCTGGGGTGATATTTTTACTCTCATAAATCTCATTCAGTCTGGTTTCCTCTGCAGTCAACCAGTCAGAAAAATTAAAGAGCCTCCCACTGTACTCATTCCAGTTGTCCAGGGCAGCCTTCAGTTCAACTAACTTTGCCTCCAGGTGTTGAGAAACATCATCAAGTTTATTTTCAAAGTCAACAACTTCCCCTTTCAGCTGTTCTTGGTGGACTTGACCAGCTCCTTCTGCCAGTGTGGCATTCAGTCTGGCAATCTGCATCAAATTACCCTGAAGATTGCTCAATGTCGTTTGCAGCTCCTATTTATGGAAATAAAATGCTTACTAATTCATTTAAGCAGTATAAGCATTATTTACAAAGTAAAGGCACAAAGTAAATGTTAGAAGTATTAAATTCAAGACTGAAAAACAATATCTATTAAAGGTTTTACCAGTAAAATACACTCAGCAAAATTAGGAATAATTGTGTAATCCAAGTGAACAGATCATAGTAGTATACGAATTAACAATAACAAGACAGGTGAAGACTCTTCATTTTTCTTTACTCATACTTCACCATATGGACTGTATTGTTACACTGCTAAATACATGCTAAAGATAGACATCGAGACTGCCACAAATTTCAGCGACTGTTGGCTGAATGTACCCAGAGAGACAGGTGAGCTGAATGGTAGCCCACAGAAACAAACATTACCATAAGGCTATTCAGGAGTCTTTGTGATCTCTCAAATACATCAATATACATGAAAAACCTGAACAGTTTTTCTAGACAGTCCTTAAAAAACAGAAACTACAACAAATATTATCACATGCTCTATTCGAGGAACCAGTCTTTCAAATTTTTGAGTCCTAAGGAACCACCATGCGCTAATCGGTTACTACCCAACCGCCCATTTGATGCGTGGCACGTAAAGGTTTTTAATTTATAACTGACCAGTGTAAAAACCCGACCCACACAATTAAAACTTCCTCTCCAATTTTTTGTGTTTGATACCACACAAGTTGATCATCAGGTTTACTTGGAAACGTGGTTAAAAGCATAAAATATTGTATGTTTGTGAGGTTTACAGAGTTATTAGGTGTTTATTTAGGGCTTTAGAAGCATCAAATTTAAATTAAACACATGTTTATCAGATTATCCAGTTAGATGGGAAAAGTTGTGGGATAGACTTTTTTCAGTCACTGATAGAGTCAAGCTCTGATGAAGGATAGCCTGAATCTCATGCAGAGTGTACAACAATAACAAAATTAGCTGGTACAATGAGAATAAATATGATTTTCTTCAGTGTCAATTCTTGCACTATTATTCTTTTTATTTAGGAACATAGCTACACAATTACAGACAAATTGAGTATTAAATACACTTTATTTTAGTATTAAATGCACTTTATTTTGTGAAAATATCCTAACTGTTTTGAGAGGTCACTTCTCTTTACCGAAAGATGGTGCTTTGTTATGATGCTACAAAAGTTTATCTGGAACAAGATCTAATCTACAGATTGAGTTTATATTTTACTTTTACATTATTAAGAGGTTTATATTCATTTATTATTCATTTTGGTTTAACTTTATCAAGTCTGCCTTGAATGCCTTGGTGGTAAGTGGAACAATTATTATTTTATTTTACTAATTTCTGTAAACTTTTTTTTTTGTAAACTAATATTTAACAACCAAAACAATTATTTTTTGTAGCAGTGTTGTAATATTATTCCTGGTCACTTTGATGTTTAATATGTGTATGCTGCACTGCAGCTGAATTAATATGGTCTGTTTTAACATATTACATATATGAAATCAAAAAATAGCATAACCATTCTTTGGTCCCCATGGGACTCTAAGAGTTAAATATTCACTAACTTTATACTTATATTATACAAGTAAAATATTATGAACCATTTGACAAAGCCTTTACTGAGAGACTAAACTAGATATCAGAACTAAATTAACAATAATAATAATAATAATGTGCAGAATGACATAAAGTGCATGCTAACAACAGGTAAGTAATAAGCATTTTACTTTATTATGTTTTTTATTATTATTATTATTTTGTTATATTTGTTTTACACAATATTTATATACCATAATCTAGTCATTTCAGATTCAGTTCATTTTTGTGTTTTGTTTCTCTACATTGTTCTGGTGATAAAGGCTAATCTCTAAAGTGCAGAATGATATTAAGTGTATGCTAACAACAGGTAAGTAATAAGCATTTTACTTCATTATGTTTTTTATTATTATTATTTTGTTATATTTGTTTTACACAACATTTGAATACCATAATCTAGTCATTTCAGATTCAGTTCATTTTTGTGTTTTGTTTCTCTACATTGTTCTGGTGATAAAGGCTAATCACAGCAATGCCCTCTGTTTACTGTAACTGGTTCTGTAAAGCTGAAAAATACTTTATGTTCTCGAATCTCTTTTAGACTTCCTTAGCTTAAACACACACCTCATTTTGATACATGTTTTATTTCCCACTATGTGTGTGGCTTCTTAGCCTAGAGGCTAGCAACTGCGGGTAAAAATTGCATGATCCGCAAGCACTACGGTTCCTTTACCATAGGAAATTTTTGTTGTTGTTTTTTTAATTAAAAAAACAAACTATTTGTGTGGTTTTTGGGCAATGCTACAAGAGACTTTATGTTATGTTATCACAATCGCCGTCACTGCACAATGGGCATTGCCATGTGTGCTCAGTCCTCCAATGCAGCAGCCACTCCAAGGTACTTCTACTAACTGTTCCCATGAGCAGTTGGTTATAATGTCTCCTATCTGGACCTTGAAGGCGGCATAGACGTGCTTCACCATGCTTTACTCCCACGTCACGCAATCATGTTAGTGTCAGAGATTTTTCATTATCCTCAAGCCCAGTTCGTACAGCCCTGACGATATCTGCTTGGTCCATGCTTCTTTCCACATGCGTTGGTGCAGTGCTTGCCAGTTGGTCTGCTCGCTCATTACCCTTTACGCCCACATGACCAGGTGTGTAGATCCAGGTGAGGGAGGTTAAGTGCAATTTCAAATGCTTTCTACCCATTCAGAGTGCATACCGCCTGTTGCTATGCTCTGAAGCATGTTCATGGAGTCCGATACAATTACTGCCTGTGTGGCTATTTGCTCTGATGCCCATGCTAGTGCTCTAGTCTAGCAGCTATGTCCATGGTCATGCTTGACGTGGTTGCCTGGTAAGCACTGCTGTACTCTCGTATTATTTTCCCCATTCTTTGCACTGTGTATGCCCATGCTGACCTTGATCCGTGCTTCATGGATCTATCTGTGCTGATTATGATGTCTTCTGGGTGTAAATGCTGATCTATCGGTGCCCTTACCTCTGTGTCTCAGCATGGTGACAAATCTTTTCTCGACCTTCAATAGGTGTAACAAAATAATAAAACATTATTGATTTGCATTGGAAATTTGGTATATGTAAAATACTGATATTTAAATGTCGCTTGTGATGCTGAAGGACAGTGTAGGTAAGCGTACAGGTGCACACAAGTGTTAGGGGGGATGCTCAGTCTAAATAGTTTACCACACAGTAAGTGACACCGCTGCGCAAGGTTGGCAATGACAAGACATGTATCGCTAGCACTAACAAAAAACAGCTAATGATGAAGTGGATCGGGTCACTTCCTTTTATCTGGCTCAGAGCCAGAGTGACAGAACAGGGATCGACTTGTCTCAAAGACATGGCACTGCCATACTCAGACAAGACGTCTAATGTTGCCTGTTCCAACAAGCAGAAGCAGTTCATAGACAGAACGACCCTTGATATTCAATGGTATCTGTCTGGCTTTGCAGACATAGTGACAATGGGGGGAGTTCAGCTGGTCATCTCTTTTTTTCTGAGCAACAAAAAAATTCAAAGACTTTCTGAATTTCTCCTAATCTTTGGTGGCACCTCATTTTCCTGTTCAGGCTGCTGCGATTTCAGGTGTTCACCTCGGGGGTTGTTGAAAAATAGTTTTCTTCTTTACCGATGTTCTGCGTGACCTGTCTCGCAGACGCCCAATTATGCCAGACTGGAAAGTAGTGGCTGGTTTTTGGGACCATGTGCATGTTGTTTTCTTGACCAGAATGGAGCATGGAAGGTGGTCACTTCCATGATGTCCTGGTACACCCCACTGGCAGAGTGCACTCATACTGGGAGAGACCAGGGTGAGATTGAGGGCACTCTCAGTCTCACCTTCTGTCAGGGATTCTGGTGGGTCTGCCATCATTCAAGCAGATTAAATTTGTGTCTGTTAGTGCTGTCATTTTCCCCCCATAGTCCACTTTTGGCATTGAAGTCACCACAAATTATGATGGTTATCTGCTCGCACAGGTCACTTAGAATTGTCCACTTTTTCTTTGTCAGCTTTATCATTGCAGGCATAGATGTTAATTAGCGTGAAAGGTTTACTTTCATCTACCTTCACAGCGTGCACCTGAATTTTGCTGTTGTTCCATGCACTTGTGTCTACAATTGAGGATTTTACTCCGCACCTGACCAGGATTGCTTGGCCTATGTTTTTGCTGTTGTAGTAAGTTTGGAAGTCTGAGACATTCAGAGCTTCCTCTGTATTCAGCGGGGTCTCCTTAAGCAGGATTACATCAGCATTATATATCAGTTTCTCCAGACTAAATCTCTCTGTCAAATGCTCCTGCAGTTCCAGCATAGAATGAGGAGATCACCCTTGCCTAGGCGTTCCGATTTAGATTGGCTTTTGCGTGCACCAGCACTTCTATTGTGTCGCCTCTACCATATTGTGCTCTTCTCCTCCTGTACCTTGTAGATATTACTGCTATGATAAAAGACAACATGCTAAAAATCAATAGGTATTGAGAAATGCAAGGATAGATTAAACCATATTTTTTTTTAATAAAATTTTTATGTATAATGTTTCAAAACAAAATAATAACCCAAATCACTTTAATATTTCTAAACATAGATAACACAATTGTTCTGCTTCTTTTTGTGTGTTCATCCATGGGCATTATGCCCATTTACAGCATGGCTGTGATATTTGCATTTCAGCCGATACATCTGACTTCTGCAGGCATTTGTTGACCTGGATAGCCCTCCCAGTTAATTAAATCTTAATGTTATAATTTTTTGAAAATAAATAATTGTGATGAAATTACCTTAGTGTTTTCAGAAGCTATTATGTTTAATAATTTCTTATGTTCATAGAGAGACAAGGAATTATTTTGACTATGCACTATGAGTAAAAATTAATTAAACCATGTGGGATTTAAAATTGTTTCCAGTCCTTAGCCCAGACACAGCAGCCAGCCTTTGTTTAATTTACAAAACATTACCTAATCTAGCTAGTCTTTCTACCTGGGAAAAGTAGACCAGAGTATCATAAAAGTTACATAACAGGCCAGACTGGGCCCTTTAAACAGACCAGATCAGGGGAATTAACCCAAGTTCCCATTGACCGGTTTTTTACACCTGTCAGTGACACTGGCTGAAACTAGATTTTTCTACTTAAGAATGCTTGATCAGAGTAGGGGCAGTCAGAATTGACTGACAGGCACAATGATAGATAAGTGGATCTGCAAGGTATCTCAGGGGGGGTGGCTAAAATGCTCTCCTGTAGGACTGGTAGTCTGGTAGTCTTAGTTTCAGCTTCATAGCAAACGGGTCGCCCCATCTTTGCTCCACTCCTGTGCCAACGAAAAACACTCAGAATTTTTATCACAGTCCCTTGTGGAAAGATTGACAGACTGCTGTCTCAGCATATCTAGCATATACTCGCAAATACTTGCTCTCCTGTAGGATAGGTAAGATACTAGAAAAGGGGAGTAGTTAGCTTTGCAGATGGATTAGGGTACATACTATACTGCCAGGCAACTGAAATTTACTTTATAGGACTGCCAGTACATTAGATCCTCAGTCATTCTTGCTGTGTGAGTCTTGTTTGGCAATTTGCTGGAATGTTCCCAGGTATGACTGTATTTTATTTTCTATCTTTTATTCATAGGTAGGGAGGCTAGCTAAGTCTACTCTACCTTTCCTGATTTATCTAACTACACATTCTGCTTGAAACAGTTCTTTGTGAGTATACAGTTACCTAGGTTAGGGAGATGCTAAACCATTCCTATTTCTTGTATGTTTGTATCACATGTTTTTCAGTGTATGCTTTCATATTTATAAAATAAGACTTGAATAATGAAATTTAATTAAATTAAAATGTTTTAAACATAACCAAAACATGAGTCTGGACTGTGGGGAAATGATGCCCACATGTGCAGCCATGTGGTGATAATTTTGATAGCACCATGTGCTCAGTCTATGTGTTCACCTACACAAGGGATTGATAAACCCTGGAGGGAAAATCATGGGTGTATAAAATTCACTGTCACTGGAAAGATAATAATTAGGACAGCATGAACATACAAAATGTTCATGTAAAAACAATGTCAGCCAGTTTGGAAGTCTGAGTAAAGACAGACAACAGACTTAGGAAGTCAACTATCATGACAGTAAATGAGAGGGAAGGCAGGATATGTAGCACGTCAGTGTGAGACTCAAGACCTTCAGACTAGACTGGAGAAAATGTGGAATATGAGGAGGGGAGATTAGATATATTTTATTAGTATTTGCATGCTTAGTGTAAGTCTAGATACTACACATATGTGTTTGTTTCAACTATTACAGATCCCATCGTGGCAAAGACTTCTGATAGCAGAAACAAGAGGGTCCATGTGCACAAACTTACATTGTGTGGGAGATCGGCAAGCTGGGAAGAAGCTGGGAAGGGGTGGAAATGCTGGAACAGCTAGGAAAAGTTAGGAAGGGCCTCAATTTGGGAGCTCTCTGAGGTTCCAATTTATAAAATTCACAAAGTCATGTTCCATATGTTTGTTCATTAACTTATCATCATCATAATACCATCACTCTAATCTCAGGTGCTCAGTTCTCTAGCTGAAGCATCTCATTACCACCACAACTCACTGTTTAATCAACTATATTATAAATGACACATGTCATCTAAATTAATGCTAGTGTTATAAATCAAATATATGGTTTTATACTGCATCGTTTGTCAAATTCCAAATGTGTTTGTTTCTAGATGTTTAAGGAAACTGTTAGATAGAGTTACATTTGATGGGTGCTCATTAATAATTCTTTACCAGGAGGTAGTCAGGAGGGGTCACCTGCCCTGCCTAAAAATTCAATAATGATAATAATCTAGACATCCAAAACCCCTTTCCTTCTCCAATGGGTACCAAGTACAGCTGCTGTGAATTTACAGGACAAGCCAAATATGGCTGTTTTCTTGGATATCCAGGACTTTGTCTGAGATCCACATAGCTCGGATATTAGTCCAGTTTCTCTGGTGGAGGTGAAGTGTTGAAAGTAAAACTCCTACTCATTATAAAATCATCTATCCACTCAGGGACTCGCTACAATAATATATTATAATTAACACTTTTAATTTATAATTATATAATCTGTTATAATTAATTTAATATATAGTCTATACATTATTAAAGAGATGTAAATTTCAGACAAATACAAATATTCAATATAAAAACTCCCAATTGGAACCAATAATGGTTGAAAATGATGGTCAATTAAATTACTACTTAATAACAAACAAACAAACAAAAAAACCCCCCCCAAAAAAAACAGATATCTGCATCCATTTCACATTTGTATTATCATTTCTTAGTCAATGCCCCCCCCCCCCCCACACACACACACACACACACACCCTTTGTTGCCCTTTATTTTATTTTTTCAGACCTTCACTTGTAATTTATAGTTACCATGCTGAAATATGAATACCTTTTTAGAAAGCAACTCTTTCTCTGCACTGCCTTGACTCAGTACTGCTAGAGGATGTTCTAGTTCCTCCTCAGCCTTTTTCATGTGTACCAAAAATGCAGCCTTTTCACTTTCATATCTCTCCCAGTCAGTCACCTGATCCTGTCAGAAAATACATGTCAAATTATCATAAACGTGAAGGATTAATATTTTGACGTGTCACTAAATCACTTTCCTCTATTTCTGTCAAGCATTTCGTGTATTCAGTCAGTAGTCATGGGTTCAATTCCCAGTTGTTACAGATTTTTAGAATTTGAAATTTGAACAACCTGATGAACCAGTCTCTTATCAACAAAGGAAGCGAATAATCAAATCAATCAGAAAGCAACCAAAACTGGCACAAGACGATTACCATTTTATGGACAGACCAGAGCAAGTTATTATTCTATGCCTTAGAACAGGACACAATCGATTTCGCAGCCACATGTTCACAAAATTTTTAATTGGTGAATCAGCCATGTGCACATGTGGACTGGCACCTGAGACAACAGATCACGTTCTCCAAGACTGACCCAAATACAACATATCAAGGCAAAACTTTTGGCCAAAAGAAACACCGATACAAGCCAAACTTTACGGGTGAATTACAAAAGACAGTGAAATTCATACTAGAGACAACATTGCAGTTATAGATAATCTATTTCAAGCGAACGAAAGAAGAAGAAGAAGAAGAGGAAGAAGAACTTAAGTGATAAATATATATGTTTCAAGAAAATTGTGTTTGAACACTGAGGTCAGGAGAAAACTGTAGTTGCATGAAAAGCAGTAATTCCTTTTGACATTTTTGTTTTCTACTTTGGTGACTTTTGTGAAGAGCTAAAGATATGCTTAATATGTCCCAAGATGTGGAAACCTATCCTTGTCCTTAGCTGTATTTTGTACACATTTATTTGTTGTATCAGAGTCTAAGACACCCCTAAAGAAAGCTTTTATAATAAAAAATTCAGTACGAAATTTGCTTTTACAAACCCGAATTCTTTCATGCCTTGCTTTCACCACTTCATTGGTATCTTTCCATTTTCTGTCTAGTTCAGCTGCAGACTGCTGGATGAAAGCCGGAGCGTTTCTGTCTCTCTGAAGATGTTTGCCTGCTTCAACTTCTTCCTGAATGTTAGCTTTTTCAATTTCCAGTTTGTCAGACAGAGTCTGTAGAGATGAGATGTAAATATTAAGCCTAAAACTGAAATCAACATACAAATTTTTACTACTTAAGATTTCTTCAGAACTGACATAAAATAATCAGATGCCTTTAAACAACAAGATGAATGCTTACACTATAATGCTGTATCTTCAAACCTCTTTCAAGTCACAAATAGCTTTTATTACAGCCGCTCAACCCTCAACTGTCCTTCATGTTTACATAAAAATTCACTTTCAATGGCTGAAGAAAAGACACAGAAAATAGAATTACAAAATTAATTCTCATTTAATATGTTACTTTTTAGTTGTGCTTGTATCTGGGCAACCGAATTCTGTGGCAAAACACATGTTGAAACCAGCCTCATTGACAACCTCAGAATTCAGTCTATTTTCAGTTTTTATTCTGATTCTAAGAAATGACCATAATTCATTCTTGCAAAAATTTGCAGAGGCAAATAGAACTAAAACTCGAAATAATGTGAGGTGATGCCTGGATATGACCGGATCACACCAAGAGTTGTTGAGCAATTTTTTTACTACAAATTACCTACTCGGTTTTAATTCATCCTATACTTCGTCACAAATGTTTTTACAGATCCAAGACTGTGTCCTGTATTTCATCAGCAATGCTAGGTACATTTATGGAAGAGGACAACAGGTTTTATACAGTGCAGTGTAGGAAAACTCAGAGAAGAACCACTAAAAAAATGGATTCAACTGTTTTTTCTTTTCATGTCTTAGGATACAGAAATTAGGACAGAAGTACCTCATAACAAGAATTCATGTCAGAATTCCTTAAACAGACAAGTCATAGATTTGATTTAATGAATAAATGTAATAAATACTAGTACTTTTTATAGAGGAGCACTATTGCAAACTATGGTGCACCAGTTTGCATTAGGATGCACATGAAAAGAACAACATTAAGAAGACGATTAGAGATCACACACAAAAATTGTCCTCTCTGTAATACAGAACAAGTTTTTCCATATGACTGTGAATCCTGTACAATTAATAAAACAAATTCTCCACGCCTCTGAGTGGTGATTTTCAAGAAGAAAACTGAGAATTCCTTGGACAGCTAAATAAGTATTTTAAATATTTTTTATAGAGGCGAACATCAGAAATATGTAGACGTCATTGTTGGTCGTGTAATGAAAAGAGCAAAGTGAACATTTTATGAAAACTACAATCAATTATGGAAACAGAGACACCAGAAAGCAACAAGAGAAGATTGTTGACAACCCAACACAGACATATGTCAGCACACAAATTTGTGCATGTTCTTGGTGATTGCAAGATGTAAAAATGCATGATGATGCAAGATTCTAGTAAAGAACACATTTTAAATTGTTGTTATATCTGTCAGTAGAAGATACTATTTAACAGATAATTATACCCTTTTTTCATTCTAATAAAAACAACACAGTTTTTTTAAAAACTCTTTCAGGCTTGAGCAACAGTGTGTGTGTTGATTGAGAAGTTCCGATTTGCCTAAACCACTGTTTGCATTGATTGTGTGTCCCGTACATTTTGATTTTCATACTGCTCCATATTCATTTTGAACTTTTGAAACTACCATTAAAATATTTAGGGAAGGTTACTCTAACATTTCTACTTTGTTTACTGTCTTTGTTCATATATTTAAGTGCAAACTGATCCAATTTATTGCTAACATCATTTTTAGACAGTGCATTTTCTGATTTCGTCTTTGACTTGCTATGGATACAAATATTCCTAACACAAGCTCTGGTCTAGAAATGTGCCTTTCTGTTTCTGAAGCTCTGAAATAATTTCAGTCAGATGTTTTTAATTCTTATAATGATAGTAAAAACTTAAATTTTTAGAAAAGTAATTTGTACTGTCAACTTACACCAAATGCAGCTGAGCAGTCAGCTGTTAGAGTATCTAGCAGTTCAGATGAGGTAAACCCAAGAGGACCCATTCCATTTGTGAAGGATGTGATAGTCACCCACATTTGCATCCAAAGTACTGTTTAAAACAATACTATACTATGGCTAAGCTGCACTGAAATGATTGCAACTACAGTCTGTAAATAACTGTACAAAGTAAATTTTTGGTGTGTAATGGTCCATTTTTCAGCCTATTTTTATCTGCAATTTTGTTCAGCATTTTATAAGAACCTGGAGCCTCTGGGTGATAAGCTAACCCAGAAACTTATCAGAACTTTTGAATTTGTTAGGAAACTTGAAAACTTTAAAGTGTTCTCAAATATGGATATTTGTTACTCTTGTGGCTGCAAAAGCATGGTAAGTGAAGATTTTTTGGGTTAAAATTTTGTCTTTATGAATGTAACACCTATTTATTTATTTTTTTTTTAAACTACAAAATCTTTAATCACATACATTATCATCAGATTCAAAATATACATTTGTTCTACTTTTTAAAAAATGTATAATTATATAGGGATAAGAAATATTAACTTTCATCATTGCCTTTTTTTTTTAACACCACAACTCTGCAATTTTTGTAAAGTGAAGTTAATGCAAGCATAGTCTGTAATGTTCATAGGCCTGAAAGAGTTGAAGAGAAAATCAATATCTGGCATCATGATGATTTTAACAAACATCAAAGGCTCACCACAGTGAACAATTCAAATAACCTGCATGAACCTACTGGAGGGCACTTTTGGTATTTTAAATTATCCCCTGCAATGCATATAAAATAGCTTCCTTTCATTTGTCAGAAACCTGTGAAATACCTATGTGCAGAATGCATCACTACAGCCATCCTCAAGTTTGATAAAACCTCCTATAGGGATATTTCTTAAGAAATGTATTTCAACTCCCCTCCCTTCCTTCCCTCAAATGGCTGCAAACTTCTTGATACACTTACTGGGACACTTATCTATATAAATATGAAGTATTTCATAATCTTTCAACAAACCATGGTGGACTAGACACTTGCCTTGCCGGCTCAAAGGTTTTGGATTCAACCCACATTGTCTTTTTTTTTTAAAATAATTATCTTTGGCTTCTAGATCAGTCCAGCATAAAATGAACACCAGGAAATGTGCTAGGAAGTAAAAGTGACAGGCATGGTGTTGACGACATCATCTATTCAATTCTAAATGGTCTATCAAAATCTGAGGTTGGCACCATATGCTATGCTCAGTTTGTCTCTGGTATAAAAAGGGTCCTTTACTTTTTCCAAAATCATTGGAAAATAACATATTCTGTTAATAGGAAGTTACATTAAAAAAAAATTTTTTTTGGGGTAAAGTGCATCTTTCATTTTTTACCTCAATCTCATCTAAGCAGACAATTGCATCCTGCAAACTGTCAACGTCTCTATCTCTTTGCTCCACTGCCAGTTTGTAAACTGCATCCAGCCAGCTGAGCTTCTTGTCAACATTATCTCTGTACTCGTATGCCTTAGATACAATACTAGACTTCTGTAAAGTTGAATCCATATTAGGCTTGAAATCTAGAAATCTGGAATAGATTTCTTGTAGCTGTTCTCTCTCCCTTTTTGTGTCAGCATTTGGAGCTTGATCTGTTAATTCGCCCAAAGATTCTTCTAGCCACTTAAAGGCATTCTGGTATTTGCTCATGTTAAGCATCTCTCTCTGCAAATAGTGAATTAGAAACAAGCTGTCAGTTAGTGGAAATAATAAATGCTTACAAATACTAACACAATAAACAAAATATAATATATGTGTGATGACACATGCAGTGACTTCAGAATGTGTCTATCCTCAACTCAATTTTTTTCTATGTATTTTTAAGTATAGAGGGAAATATGGTCCTAGATATAGCCTAAGTCAAGGCCATCCAAAACAAACACTCAGGTAAAATGTTAAGTTACAGCTAAGACTGAGCAGATAGACTTAGTGGCACCAGTGAAGTGGAAAGCTCAGACATAGTGGCTAGAGGTTTTGCTTGTAGAAATGAGGTGTCAGATACAGACTGTACAGTCCTGTCTGACAGTGAATGGACTTACCCATGGGGAGGAGCTTTGACATCCCTTGAATGAGAGTGGTTTCAGGAGTAATAAAGGAGGAGCCTAGGAGAGATTATAAAAGGGTGGACTCTAGGGCTGGAAAGTGGGACTCTGCTATCCGAACATGCCATCATTGTTGGGTTTAAACCCTAAGCTTTGAGACAGAACTTGGTGGCATTGTATTTTCATTTTCAAGGTAAGAAATCTCAAAATTCTCTTTGCTGAAGTGTATGTATTTACTACTTTATAGTACTCCTAAGCAGACATTTTTTCATTCTCGCAGGGCACTGTCAAATTGCATTATGTCTTAATTGATATTGTCATGTTTGTTTTCCGTGTACATGTGTATACACTGAATACTGATGTTACCATTGCAATTTAATGAACTATCATTTTTATGAAAATCCAGGCGTGAAGATAATTTTGGCAGTCTCTTCACAAGTGGTTATTTCAAATGCATCTTACAGCTAATAAACCGAAATGTATTTAACTCACAGGGAGGCTACTGCCAGAGATTGACCCCGGAGAGTAAAATGCTGAGAATTTACACTGATGTGCCCCGGAAATATCATTATCATTCTGACCGTGCACATTATTTAAGGTGTTAATTCCAGAACTTGTTCTGTCAAACAAAATGTCAATTTTGAGTCTGAACGAGAGACAACACCAGAAACAACATCAGACTTCAAGAACTCAACCATCGTTACAGGACGTGAGTAGAGGAAGGCAGGAAATGTAACTATGTGATACAAAGTCCTTCCAGACTGGACAGGAGAGAATGTGAATATGAGGGAGAGATGAAATGTCTTTATTAGAATAGACATGTTTGGTGTAAGTCTAGATACTACACATATCTTTATCACAGTTCCCACATTGTACAGTAACTAGTCGGCATCAATTCTTTGCAGTCTGAGTGTAATTACCTGCTTGAAGCAGCGAGGATGACAAGCTGGAAAATGATAGGCAGGTCTCAAACTGAGAACTGCCAGAGGTTTATTTTCTCCATTTCAAGTTATGTTATCATCATCGTAACACCATCCTCACTCTACTAGCCTATGCATGTATCGAACTAATTGACTGACACATTACCATCACTTAAGCTATTATTGCAATATCATTCAATTTATTTTCTTTAGACTTTTAATAAAATCTTTTCATGTTGTTTTAAAATAGTTGAGTAAATAGTGTCAAGTGTCTTTGTCCATTCTAGTTTACCTCAGCTCACACACATATATATATATATATAAATTACTTGATGGTAGCTTTTGTTAAAAATACCAGGAGATGAGAAAGCCTGAGAGGTTAACTGTGTATCTTGATATGATCTCATCTTGATGTCTATCTATCCCTTTTCCTACTCCTGCGGATACAAGTACAGCTGCTTCCATTGTATTGTACTAGCCACTTTGCTGTTTTCTTGGTTATCTAGGACTGTGTCTGGGATCAAAATAGCTCAGATATTAGTCCAGTTTCTCATGTGGATGTGCAGTGTTAGGATAAAAACTGGACAATGAGGCGCTCAAACCCACACTCTCACTATATAAGTGTATATTTCTACGTTGGTTGGTGAAAATATGCTTAAATAATAAATATTCTATATTAAAGAAATGAATCTTCGTGTAAACTAATTTATAAAACAGAGAAAGTATTATTGTGCGGTCTTCCTTAAATTAGTTTATGTGTGTGAACCAAACAACATTCAAGAGCTGCTTTTCTATTTTGCTATTCTGCTATTTTAATTTTGTTTGTAATAAAATATTCATAGCAAAAATGTATTGTAAATGCTTCTGTTAATTAAAAAAAAATTTTTTTTAACAAAATACAACTGCTATAGATATCAACAGAATAAGGGGTGAAATTGCTACTGACTATATGTAAACTAAAACATACTGAAAAGAGAAACAGTCTGAAGTCCTAGAAAACAAAAGCAGTACTATATTTATTTTAATTGATCATCAAAGAATTTTTTTTTTTTTTTTTTAAAGGATTGACACAACACTTAGTTTACAAAATATGCAAGACTTTTGTGAATAAAGTCAACAAAATACCTGAAGGTCTGCAAGTTTTTCCTTGTACGCATCACCACTCAAGTTCTCTTGGTCCAAATCCTTCATCAGTTTGTCAACCTTCAGAACCCAACTATTAACATCACTCAGCCTTGAGGAAATAAAGTTATCTTATTACAATTTACTTAACTGCTAAACACCAAGACATTTTTTTTTGTAATAAAAAAAATGACAGTTATCTAGCAGTAATACTTTCTTAGAGGTGTGAAGTGATTGGCCACACATTTTTTCCTCAAGCATTCTAATCCCATGAGGTTCATTGCCGCAAATGTCACCAACTTCATTAATCTTCTTTTTGCAGATTGGGATTTCCTTTGCAGACTGTATTTGTAGGTCTGTCTGTAATTTATCTCTCCATGGTTTTCTTGGTCTGCTTGGTGGTCAACTCCCATTCACCTCTTTTGTGCATGCAGTTTTTGTCTCTGTTATCTGCCATTCTCTCTGTATCATGATAGTCAACATCTGCCATGCCAATAAGAGTAGGCTCCCATGTTTTGTCATCTCACATAACTATAGAATCAGGTCACTATTCTTGTCTCACCTCATCCATATGGCTAAACCCTCCAAGTATTTATCACGTCCCTCACACTGGCTTTCTTTCCCTCAATCTGGCTAGCCATCATCAAGTTCTTGAGTCCATTCCTTTTTCATTAACATGTCCACACACTAAAAACTGACTGTTTATAAGTCTAATTTTTCTAATCGGTTTACTGCTTTCATAAGTTTTGAGAACATTTACACTTTTTGGCTGGCCATGGCAAAAAGTCTAACAAAATGCAGAGAATTCCCCAGCAGGAAAGTCTGAGTCTCATACAGTTATGGTTAGGGTCCTGATAGATCTGGAAAGTCCGGCTTAATTTATGAGATAGAAGTCCAGAAGATAAGACTATTCTTATCGGCTACGTCCCGCATCCGAGTCCCACTTCAACACGGTCTCTTGCCATAGATCTGTATGCAGGACCTGTCTATGTGTGGTCCAGGGGACTAGTCTAGAATTCCTGAACGCCAGGTTTCACATATGTGAAGCATTCTATTGCACCAGCCGCAGTGTCATTTATGCCATCAACTGCAAGAGATGTGGCATGAAATACATTGGTGAAATGGATCTACGGCTGGCTGACAGATTCAGACAACATCTTTTAGATGTGCAGAATGGTGCCTTGAAACCAGAACCGTTGCAGTTCAATTCCCAGGATCACCAAAGTGTCCTCGACATGGAGGTGACAGAAATTAAATCTAGCCACTCCAATGACAGAGTCCGCAAGTCTCTTCAAAATCGCTTCATTTACACTTTAGGTATTTTAACACCCTCCCAGCTGAATTGCCAGCACAGTTTCATTTAAGCTTCTAGGGGACTGAACTGCCCACACAGTTTTATCTCAAACCCCCTAGTTATAGCCCGTTGGTACTTCACAGGGGGTATTTATTCCCCTGGCCCACGCGTGTCAGCAGTCTGCTGAAAAGTCATTGACCCGACTGCTTCGAGATACCAGCTAAGTGATTTTGTGTATTTGTGTGGTATTGTTTGATTTGTGTATGTGCTGATGAAGGCTCCATAGCCTCAACTTTCAAATTTTTTTGCTCGTATTTGTTATATTGTGAAGCTTGCTAATATACTTTTCGTTTGATTTCATATCTTTTGTTGACCATTTAGACACAAGGATACCTAAGCATTCGGCTGCCCTCTTTCTTCAATACAATTTAATTTTCTATAAATCCCTAGTGAAGTCTGAAAGATTATTTTCGTTACAGACACTCGTTCACATGCCCTGCTAACAGAGATTACATAATAAATGGAAAACAGAAATGAAGTTTCAAATTACTGCTATCCTCTATGTGGGTTTCAGGGCTCCATTTTAAGGGAAAAGTTCAAACTCACTGCACCCTTACAAGCATGCTGTAAAAGACAACTAATAAAAAGTTTGCTTCCTTAAAAGTTGAAGTTTATTTGCCTAAGAGGTGAAAAACCAACAATGTGCACACAACAAAGAAGCAAGATCTGTAAAAACTAATGATCATGCAAAACTCAAATCCTGGAACAAGGACCAAAGTCCAGAAGTGAACAAACAACCAGAAATCCTCCCCCCCCCCCCCCCCCCCCCCCATATTTTACAGCTGGTGAATGGTAAGAAGAAGAAGACAAAATTATTACTATGTAACAATACCAAAATGTCTCAGTTAAAGACTTCCATCAGATGTAGCAGGAGATCTACTGCTTGCTCAGTATTCTTCCAGAGCTGATTTATGTAGTAGACTAAGTTTATTTCCTATGGACATTTTTAAATGATGTGGAATAATTTTTAATTTATTGCTGTCAATGGAAGACATAACAAGACCTTGTCTCTACATTTAAGAGTACCAATGATTTTCCTTTGACAGTATGAAATATGTTTCCATTTGGCTTTACTTAGAACAGTGGTGGCTAACTTCCACATTCACTAGTTTTCACTTCAACTTCTCTATGTATCTGTATACTGTATACTATATCCAACACACTCTCTGGCAATGATAAAAAGTATATTATTGACATCATAAAAGTAATCGGATTAAAGCAGGGTGTGATGTGTTCATATAAACTAGATAAGTGTGAGTGGGGATTAATTGGGGAAAAAAAAACATTTTAACTGAATGTTTTTCTTATTTTATATAAGATTCCAGTGTACATAATCATACTTTCTTTCAAGTCCATTACCTAGGTCTAAAAAATTCATATACTGACTGAGTTAATTCATCAATCATAGTTTTTGCATCGAAGTGTACATAATGTTATAAATAAAACTGAACATCATCATATTCTGCTTCATTCTCTCTCTCTCTCTCTCTCTCTCTCTCTCTCTCTCTCTCTCTCTCTCTCTCTCTCTCTCTCTCTCTCTCTCTCTCTCTCTCTCTCTCTTTCTCTCTCTCTCTCTCTTTCTCTCTCTCTCTCTCTCTCTCTCCCACCTCACCCCCTCACATTTCTCTCTATTTTTTGTTTCTGTTACATGTAACATTCGCTGCTAGTCACATATTTGTAGCTGCATGATGTAGTTATTCTGAAAGACGTACAATTTTAGTTGCATGGTGATGTATCGAAACTGAATGTAACAGGAGCACAGGGATGGTGGTTACTGAAAAGGAAACAGATACTATTATTATTCTGTTTATCCTGATAGTTTGGAGAATTGTGTTTCATATCTGCTTAAAAATAATAATAGCTTGCCTCTCACTGTACTCCTTCCAACGTTCTGGTAACTGTTTTAGCTGTAGATGAGTGTTGTGAATAAGTATTTGCAGTTTCTTCCATCTCTCTGTGTGATTCAGATAATGTTCCTTCAGAGATTGCTCATTTGTATCTAATTGCAAGAGCTTCTCCGCCAGATTCTTCATTTGGTCTAGCCACTGTTCACATGATGACACTAAACTTCCATCCTGAAACATCTGCTGCAGAAGCAAATACTCATCTTCAGCAAAATCACAAACAATAATAAATTTACATATTTTATAAATGTGTATAACTACAAGCCACCATCTTTCTCCAGCAGTCAATGTAAAATAAAAAATAAAAAACAAGAAGCAAATGAAGTTTAAATTAAATGAATCAATTAAAAACTATTTTTAAGAGTCTATGTTAATGGTAAGGCAAATTCATTAGCCTAAATTACCACAAAAATATATTTGTAAAAGACTTCACACAATCTCAATTTCTTGAATATTTGCCTGCTTCATTATCCTATTTAAAAGAAAAAGAAATAAAAGACCCATTTTTATGGCAGTAGTGCAAAAAGCATATATGCTAGACTCCTATGTGTATAGACCTAATGGCATATGATGGGTAATGTGGTCACTCATGCCAACATTAGCCTTTAAACTCATTTACAGTTGTATCATGTGCCAGTATTTAAAAATTGTGAGTGATTATTCTTAAATATCGCCTCCAAAATGAAGTTGTAAACTTATTTCTAGACAAAATTTGTGCATCAGATTACATGTGTTATAGATTCATGAAATCGTGAGTAGAGTTTCAGAATGAACATTAAAAAAATGTTATTTAAGCTTTGAGGGAATGAGAAAGTGAAATCTCAGTCTTATTTTTGATGCAGTGAAAGCCTGGTCTTGTGGCGCTTGGAATACCTGAGTTTAACGTATCCTGAGATCAAATGAATGTAATCAAGCTGCCAGGCTTTTTTACTAGAAAACCTCTGGATATTTCTCTATGACAACTTGAAACACTGCTGTGCTGTGTGGTTTGTGAATACTTTTTTGGTAGTTTTGAAGTGCAAGCGTGAGAATCATGTCCAGATAATGATAGTAAGTAGAATGTACTTTGAGGTAGCTGTTGCTCTAGACAACAAATCTCTGGTAGCCTGACCGAGAGGAACATTGTTGAAGTAATAAACAGAGTAGTTGTTAGCTGTTCAGCATTTCTCAACATTCGTTCGTATTCAAGCTTGCTGTGTTGAAGTATCTGTCAATGAACCTGAGGATGCTGCATGATTAGAGCCTAGAGAATCATTGCAAGGATAATAAAATGAATATATATATATATATATATATATATATATATATATATATATATATATATATATATATATATATATATATATATATATATATATATATATACAGACAGATGGACGGTGCTTGCAGTAGACTGAACATGCTCAACTTTTTATTTTAATTTTCCTCCAAAAGGAAGAGAACAGAAGGATAGATAGGCAAATAGAAAGATGGAAAGATAGAAGGATGGACACAGAGACAGACAGATAGACAGCTAGACAAAGTGATAGATAAGTAGAGACAGACAGACAGACATGCATACATATAAACAGATAAGTATACAGACATACAGATAATGGGAGATGAAGCGCTGATCACTAAACCCAAAACAGAGATAGGGGAGAGAATATATTATAAACAAGAGCTGGCTAAGAATAGAATTGGAAAATCCAGTTGACATCATTTATCCATTCCCCCACCTTCCCCTAGTGCAAATCACAAAGCATCTGTGTTGTGAAAGACTGCCCAGTGTGTTCTATATGCAGCTTGCAGCTTACCAGAAATTTTGAGACATTTCCAGGTTTTCCCTGTTTCAAGGCCCGATGCTAGCCCATTAAAAGTAAATAATTCATACCTTCATTAATTTGTACAATGGTCTTCAAAAATAAAAACACACACACACACACATATTTAAAAAAAAAAACATTTTCAAGTAGGCAAAAGGTTAAAATTTAAAATTTACTGTATGCATGGCCAGTGCCTCCTTCAGATTTTGATTACTTTTGATCTGTTCCTGTAGCTGCTTCAGTGTCATATCTGCTAACTCGACAGATTGCTCAAACTTGCCCTCAGGGACTCCAAACTCAAGTATGAGAAGCCTCACTGAGGCGCAGTGTAGAATATTCTGCAATGAATATATCTAACATAAAAGGAAACTGAGAAAACATTAAGTTTACAAAAAACATATATGCTCCAAAATGTTAATGAATTATGAATCATGAACTAACATCACTGCACTCAAAACATTTCCATTTGCTCTCTCTCCTTTCTCAAAGAAGAGTCGACATGCTAATAGTACCTGTTGTAATATGACAAAAAGTCCCCCTGTTTTCTCCTCAGTGTTGAATTTCTTCTAGAACCTCTGCCCACCCTATACTGTTGTTCAAGTGGTTTTTATTTTTCTTAAAAAGATTGTTTCCTACTTTTAAAAAACTTTTTTTATAACAGTAATTTACACTGAAGTGGAATCATCTTTGATACTACTATGACAGTCATATTACACTCTTTGACAGCACTTATACATGTACACATGTACAAATAAAAATGCTGTTCTAGGTTTTCTTGCACCCAAAAATGAAGACAAATGTATTACTATGAAAAATTACTTACATCCCAGCGTTCTTGCATATGAGTGAGGACCTGTGACAGATGCTTCTGTTCTGTAGTGTTTAGATATTGCAGGATTTCGCTGACAACTGACTCAAAGTTAGATATTCTCTCCTTGTCAACTTGATCAAAATACATCTGAGGGATAAATCACCATCATCTATATTAATAAAAATGTTAATTTTCCGATTTCGTTAGCTCTAAACTCGGAAACTACTGAACCGATTGCTTTCAAATTTTCACACAACGTTGCCTCTGACTCAAAGCGTAATTTGTTGTCATAAAATCGCACAAACCACGAACGACATAGCTCCAGCAACGGTCAAATCATTTTTTGTTTCGTTGTTCGCCGGATTTATTTTTAATCAATTGGCCACCTTTGACTGTGCAACACCGACCTTCACATTATTATTATATACTTTAATTTCTACTAAATCCTTGATTGTTTGGTAGCGTAGTTAGTTGTAAGGATTTCGTTTTTTTTACTTGGGTGACAGGGGTTCGATTTCCAGCTGGGTAATATAATTTTTTTTTTGGGACCCCTAACTGGGTTGCTGCCACGTTTTGTTGTGGTTTATAGCTAGGCTGCAGCATCTAGGCCTTTTTTCTGTTCGATTTTAGGGTTTACGGCTAGCCTCCGACAGCGGCGACGTGATGCTCAATGTTCATGTCACGAGTAATATCCGTTCGCCCTTGAGAAGGCTGTTGGCCTTGTTGTGTTGTAGTTTACAGCTAGGCTGCGATATCTGACCTAAAGTCTTCAGTCTTCGGTAGTAGAGTTGTAAGTATTTCGCCCTTCACGTGGATAATGGTGTTCGATTCCCCGATGGATGCTAATTTTTCTTTTTTCCCTAAAGGCGAGATTGGCATGTTGTGTTGTGGTTTACAGCTAAGTTGCGACACCTGCGTTTTATGCCCAAAGACATCCGATTTAAGTACAGTCCAAATTAGCCTCCCCCCACCCCCCATCCCGACGCTTCACTCGATCAAAAACTATTCTTTAATGACAGAAACTGTTAACTAAGAAGGCTAACGGTCCAGTTTGGTTTGGGTCGACACGGATGCCAAGGTTAATTAAACATCGTCACTTCGGAGAGAGAGAGATGACGAGTGCAGGTTTTTATTTCCACTATTTGTGAGTATAGTGTACATTTTTTTTATATCATGGAATATTACTGTGGGTTCCATCACTGGTTAGGTGATAGAGTTTTATATCGGGGACACACTTAAACTAAACAGTCCGTGGCGACAGCATGCGGCGCCAACTCCTCTGGCTACAACGACCTGTTCAGACAGTAGTGACCGTTTTGTGTTGTTGTTGTTGTTGTGACGGTGGTGATGGTAGTGGTAGCAGTAGTACTGGTACTGGATGGGTGATGTGGTAGCTGTTACACTGGCCACATTTACTTCTCATTACACAATAATGCTATCCATCTGTCTCTGGGTGGATGCGGATGCAAAGCTCAGTTTAGTTACAATATTTCATCAGATGATGACTTTCCCATCCTTCGGCGAGGATGATATGATTAGTGGGGGGAAAGGTGGGGGGGGGGGGGGGGGGGGGGGGGGTGTTGATGGCAGACACTGTTAACTGAGAGAGCTTAAAACATAATTTTAAAGTTCTAATTTCTTAACTATTTCTATTCTAATAATTTCGCCAAGTGATGATTTTTTATTCCTACGGAGTGGGAAATTGTGATGATTTTTCAATCCTTCAGAGAGGGAGATATGACTTCGCCAGGTGATGATTTTTCAATCCTTAGGATAGGAAGATATGATGGGGGGGGGGGGGGGGGAGGGGGAGAGAGTGGTTATGTCGGACACAGTTAGCTGAGAGAGCTTATAATATTATTTTAAAGTTCCCATTTCTTAACTATTTATATTTTAATAATTTCGCCATGGATGATTTTTCAGTTCTTCAGAGAGGGAGATATGACTTCGCCAGGTGGTGATTTTTCAATCCTTCGGAGAGGGAGATATGATAAGGGGGGGGGGGGGTTATGCCAGACACCGTTAGCTGAGAGAGCTTAAAATATTATTTTAAAGTTCTTATTTCTTAACTATTTCTATTTCTATTTTAATAGTTTCGCCATCGATGATTTTTCAATCCTTTGGAGAGGGAGATATGACTGTGTCAAGGGGAGCGGAGGGGGGAGGGGGGTATGACAGACACTGTTAGCTGAGAGCTATTTTCTTTCCTCTCCATTTCACCATTCTGGGCCACAGCAATGCGTGGCCGGGTACAGCTAGTACTGAATAAATTAAAAATAGTGTTTGAAGTTGACATCAGAGAATGACTGTGTGTGTAAATAAATAATAGTTTTTATCCTAATTCAAAAAACAACACCTAACTACTACCTTACAAGATGGAAAGATGGTTTATTTTCAAGCATTCATAACAGAAATGCAGATGTTTTCGAACATGTCAAAGAATATGTATGAACCTTACTACTTATAAAGTAGACTGTTCAGAAGAAGATGAAATCTCTTTCCATTTATTTCTTGTCAATTGACTCCCTCTGGGAAAAAGTACTGTCTGTGCTCTGGCTTAAGCAAACTGAGCAGTAAACCTTCTGACAGTTTTTTTAATCTAATCTTGCATCTGTATGAGATTACGATTTCTGTTCATCTGCCTTGGAATTATTGTAAGGAATATTTCAGCTTTTCAGCAAATCTCAATGTATCTTTTCCTTTACTTTTTACCTAAATAGAAAAGCAGGTACCATAAACCGTAACGACCAAAATGAACATTATTAGACCTTCACAAATACTGCTACCTAAGTAACATGCTAATAGTTTTGTGTACCCAAACATCAACACATATAAGGTAAGTATTTAAAGAAGATAAGTTAGTTCCCCCCACCCCCACCCAACCCCCAAACCCTACCCCACCCCACTACCAAAAAAAAACATAAACTATAACTAGAAGCACTGCTGCAATAATTCCTGGAGAAAGACAAACTAAAAGAGGTTTACAAAGATGTGAGTATGTTGATATAAATGAAATTGTGCATATCCGAGTTACTTAACAATTCAATGAATTTCAGGGATGGCTAGAAAAAAAATGATTGTCATGTACTAAGTGGACAAATTTACAAAGGCTAGACTACTTCCTATATGATACCAAGAAAATTAAAAATATTTTTTGTAACACTGTAAGACAAAAATATACAGAAGATACTGTAATATCTTGGAAGTTTGAGGGCATTACAAAGATCAATAAAATGACACATTAGACAAAAGTGTCATTTTATCTTTCTACTTCTTTCTGTGAGTGCAGATCAATACATTTCCAATTGTTTATTTTATATATATAATATTTCTTCAGCCTCAGGATTGTCCCCTCAGTTTATTTACAGGATAGAATGGAATGATGAAATAGACAGCAAGCCTTATGTGACATATAGGACAATAATATATATATATATAAATTGTATTTCTCACCTTATGTTTAGATATAAGACTGTCAGGGTCATCTTCATTATCATCTAAAATATTCTGGGCAGTTTCCAACCAATCCTCTAGTTGCTGTTGCTGCTGTTGACATGACCGCCATAGTCTGGCCAAGGTTTCAAACTGTCCTTCCCATTCCTTAGCACTGCTAACAACACTCTGTGCAAGGTGTGTCATATTTTTTTTAATTTAGAAATATTTGAAAAAAACAACAACATAGCTAACTAACTTTCTGTTTCTTAATTTTGTTAAGTATGTATTTTCACAATGTAATAAAATGATGACAAAATAATGAATATAGATGAGCTATACAAACTTCTCCGTATTCACTAAAAGAATTAGCCAATTTTCAATAGACCATGGAAAAGCTCATATGGTAACAGTTGACTAACTGTGATGCATATTTTAGCTAAACAAAATCTTTTTGCTTTATAGTATAAAGTGAAATATGCCAGACAATACACAGCACAAAATAAAGGAAACCTTAAAAAAAACAGTATTTTGTCAGTTACTATTTTTCCTGTTTCATTGCTCAAATACAGATTGAAGGAAAAAACAAAGCAGTTTGCTTTCTTCTTCTTCTGCCTCTATCCCCCATTGAAGCATAGGCCCTCCACCAATTCGCACCAAGTCGTTCTGTCCTTTGCTATTTCATGAAGCTCACCCCATGTCCTCTTTATCTTTTAAACTTCATGGTCTCGTTCCCTTCTCAGAAATTTTTTTTTTGGGTCTGCTTTTATTTCTATGTCCCTGTGAGTTCCACTGCAAACAAATGTTATTAATATTGTTTTCAGGTTGTCTCAATGTGTGTCCTATCCAATAGCAGCGTCTTTTCTACACCTCTTGTTCACCGGAACTTGTTTAGTTCTGTTCCACAGCTCAACATCAGTGATTCTATCATTCTATTTTTTCTCTCTATTCTGTGCTGTACAGACAGCAACTGTCTAGAAATTATGTTTAAGCAGCACATATTTATGAAAGAACCTCACATAAAGCATTAAACTTTCAAAACAGTGACCAATAATTCTGTCCACAGAATAAAATTATTTACTGAATCGATTGAGTCAGCAATCAACTCCTTAGGTCTTGCCATTCTTTTTATGCATTTATTTGAAATTAAAAAAAAATTAAAGATATTCTCCAGGTTTTGACATTGATTTGACTGTAACCACCCCCCCCCCCCCTTTTTTTAAATTTAGTATTTAATTTTTTTTTTTTTGGGGGGGGGGGGGGCAATATTTAAGATAAGCTTTTGTAAGTGTCTTACAAAATAAGCTATATAATTAATTTATATTCTAAAGTAACAAAAAAGTTATAAAAATGTTGTATTATGCATTACCTGGAACCTTTCATTGGCAGCATTCATTAGGTCCTCAGCTGGTGTAAAGTCAACATTCTCAAGTTTGGCTTTCGTTGTGCAGATTTTTTGGAACACTTTGTTTTTGCTTTCAAGGATGGATTTTTGGTATGTGATTTCTTTAAAGAAGGCCTGTATATAAGTACAGATAGAAAATTTATTGGAACGTTAGTCTGTTCCTTCACATAATATGTATATAAAACACTGACTTTCTATGTCTAATTTGTCTAATCAGTTTACACAGCTGTATCTGCCTTAATGAGGACTGTCAAAATTTTTATTCTTTTATTCCATTATATTCTTTGAATTCTTGTCAAAAACTACATATCTGCTGCAAGTAAATGTATCTCAACCTGTCTGCTTATTGTCCATGTCTCGCTTGCATATATCAACAAGGCTTACGCCGAAAATTCTGGTGGCTCCACGAGATGAACAGAGGAACTGTTTTGCCAGAGCTAAAGATGGACAACGGGGTATTGTTACAGTCGGATGAAGATAAAAGTATGCTATCCTGCACAGATTTCTCCTTCAGACGGACAAGACAGATAGGGAAGAGAGGGAGCAGATAAAACAGAGATTACACGATATCTAAATGGCTGAAATGGAGGAAGATGATGATACAGTTTACATCAAAACTGTTTGCATCAGAGTACACTGAAGGCCTGTCCAGACACAGCTCCAGGGCCTAATGGCATTAGATACAGCAACTTCAAAAGCCATGAGGAGACAGATATAAATGAACTATCCACAATATTGAACAACACTGTGAAAACTGATGACCCTCTCCACAGCTATCTCAGGCCCGTCCCTAAGCCAGGGAAAGACCATACGAGAATAAATGGCTACAGAATCATCACACTCCAGAACACTATTGGAAAACTCATTGAAAAAATCATAGCCAGAATGTTAACCCAAACATTGGAGTCAGGTGGTCTATTCCCCGCTACACTAGGTAGTTACAGACCGTGAAGAGATACATGGTGCAATGTTGCAGTATTTGCTTACAACACATACATGGGTTTCCATGAGGGAGTGGAAGCTGCTGCAGCCACTATTGACTTAGAAGATGCGTACAACAGCGTCCCATATAACATGCTTATCAGACTGCTGTTGGATATGCAGATAGAAACAAAACTGGATCGCAGCAGCGCTATTTGAGAGAACAGTGTCGCTTCGATGTGGTGAATGGGCATGCGAACCTCAACGCGTCCTAACAGGTCTGCCCCAGGGATCACCACTGTCGACTGTGCTCTTTAATATGTACACAGCAGGAGACACAAGTGCACAAAGCACAGGCCTAGGCAGAACAATGTTGTATGCAGATGATATCCTTGTCTACCGTCGAGGTAAAAACAGGCACGAAATTACAACAAAGCTACAACACAAACGAGACAGACTTAGTGAGTGGTGCCAGAAATCAAAAGCTCAAGTGAACCCGTTTAAAGCCTCTCTAACAAGGTTTTCTCTGAATAGCCACATCATCAGTAAACCAACGCCAGTCTGTGTGGTGTGGACATCGAGAGAACGGACACCATGAAATACCTGGGCATGACATTTGACAGATGCTTGTCATACAAATGCCACGTAGACAATGTCACACTTAGAGCCATGAAAGGTCTGACAGCATTTAAGGTGAATAATGCCTACTTTTCTTTCTCTTGTATTAAGCGTCACTGACTATGGTCTTGGCCTCCTCACTGTCAGCAAAACCCAGCTAGAAAGACTGGACCGAGTACAAAACGAGGACAGGAGACTCATACTTGGCTGCACAAAACACACCTCCTGCAACGCCATGTGTTATGTCCTGTGTTTGCCGACAATGATTAGCAGTTACAAAGTTGCACATATCAAGGCGTACATGAGATTGTCGGCAGACATTAACCACCCACTGCACAAAGCTATAAACGATACAAAAGGAACGCATCTCAAAAGAGGCTGCTCCTGGATGGCAAAGGCTGATGATTTAATTCAGCAGGTATGTGACCTAGACGTGATCAGTCATGGAAAAGAATGGACGAATACACCACTAGACATGCATGGCATCTCTAAGGTTGCCATCACACTCGGAAGGTTCTGCAGGGATCAAATTCCTGTAGACACAGCTTTCAGACCCAGAAGATATCAGAATGATCTGTGAAGCGCGAATCAAGGTCAGCATGGGCATAAACAGCACAAAGAATGGGGAAAACAATACAGGAGGACAGTGGCACTTACCAGACAACCACGTCCAGCATGACCATGGAAATAGCCGCTGCTTCTAGAGCATTAGCATGGGTATCTGAGCAAACAGCCACACTGGCAGTAATACTCCATGAATATGTTTCAGAAGATGGCAACAGGCGTTATGCGCTCTGAATGGGTAGAAAGCATTCAAAAATTGCACTTAACCTCCCTCACCTGGATCTACATGGACAGAGCAGATATCATCAACGCTGTACAAACTGGGCTAGTGGATAATAAGAAATCACTGACACTAACATGATTGCGTGACATTGGAGTAAAGCATGGTGAAGCACGTCTATGCAGTCTTGGAGGCCAAGATAGGAGACAATATAACCAGCTTCTCATGGGAACAATTAGTAGAAGTACTTTGGAGTGGCTGCTGCATCAGAGGACTGAGCACGCAGGGGAATGCCCAATGTGCAGTGACGTCGATTATGTTAACATAACATATAACATAGCTTACATTTTGCACTTTTAACACTCTCTTTCCCGCTGCAATTGACATCTTATTGTGAGTATGCTCTGAATCTTGCTAAATGTCATAATTTATGTTTACTTACAATTTAACTCTAAGCCTAGTTGCTCACTCTGAACTATTACTGCATCTACTAAACAAAGCAGGAGCCGCTGTGGTGTAGCGGCTATACACTCGCCTGTGGATCCGAAAGTCATGGGTTCAGGTCTTGATGGCACCTGACTTTTTTTTTTTTAAATGACCTTGGCTTCCAGGCTGATGCAGTCTTAAATGGGTATCAGTTAAAGTTCTGGGAAGTAAAGGCAGCTGGCTGGATTTTGACCACATCACCCACCAAGTGCTGACTGGTCTACACAATAAAAGTCTAGCCCTATATGTCCAATATGCCTGAAGGTGTGGAAAAGGGTCCTGAACAATGCAGATCCTGTTCATTGTTTGCAGTCAACACTGATCTGTATATCCTATATTACTGATGCCTTTCAGATGATGTTCTAAAATATTTACCTCTCTTGATTGGCTGGTACCGACCTACTTCATAATCACTTTTTTTTTCAGTGTATGCTCTTAATCAGTCTAAGGTTTTTCTTATCAGTGTGTAGATCTTCATGCATGTCAGTGTGTCTTAATCTATCAAAAGCTTTTGTTTAATCAATGATGCAGTGATGCAGGTCTGTATTTATTTCTATTGAATGCTCTATTATTGTTCTCAGGGTAATACAGCATGTGTTATGCTCTTTCCTTCGGCAAAGCCACATCGCTTGATGATCCTTAGTAAAATCATTGCGATGTGACTAATGATGCTAACTGTTCAATGCTGGTTATATTTTTAAGCCCCTGACTTCTTTGGAATTCCAATAAACATAGAATTACATAAGGATACATAAGTATCATAAATACCTATATATATATATACATATATATATATATATATATATATATATATATATATATATATATAATTTTTTCCCCAAATATTGGAATATTTGCATTAGTAATATACGGATTATAAATTCATAACCAGACACACCTCAACAAGGAAAAGTATAATAGGACTATAAGGTAGAAAAACAACAGAATATCAGTCAAATACAGATTATAATATTTTTCTGTCTTCCTTTCTTTACATCTTTCTTTCTTTCCTTGTGTATTTCGTTTACTTTTAACTCCATCACTCCATTCACTGATCTGTCTTATCTATCTATAAATATTTCTATCTATCTGCCCCATATCTATAAAAAGAGAACAGCTAGTGGTCCACACTTGTGGCAAGACATAATTAATGGGAAGTTATTTTTGCTCTTCAGTCAGAAGTATAATCTTGACTGGACTGAGTTAACTGTTTGTATTTTCATGTCAGATACTGCCATTGGGGATGCCATTTATCCCAAGCCAAAGCATAACAACACCCTCCCTGACACCTTTGCATTTTATAAAATTTCCAGAAAATTCCAAAAATTATCTAGCACTAATCATGAGGTTAAGTCAACTCTAAAGTTATACTGGTTGAAAAAATAATCCTGCCATTGGTGGGCAATGAACACAGACCACTGTCTTGGAAAATAATTACACTAACCACTATGCTATTCCAGTGTTAGTATAAGTAAGCAAGGATCCACATGTTTTTTTATCATCATCAAGTCTATGCCCAGCATGTCACTACTTCAGCCCAAAAAATCCATTCTCCCTCTTAAAGTTCATGCAGTGTGACATTGGTAGTCATGTCTATCCACAACCTTCTGCCTCGTGTACTTTCAGTCAATTCTGACACAGATGATCCTCCATGCCATGACGTCAAACTGTCCAGCATCAGTTCTCTCAGTCTCCCTCTGTCTCTCTTCCCCTTGAACTTTCCTACTGTCATGATGCCCTAGAGTTTTTTCCTTCTCATCACATGACCAAAGAATGTAGATTGTCTCTTTTTGACATGGGCAATTATTTCTCTTCGTGAGTCAGTTTTTTTCAAGACCTCTTCATTACTCTTTTTATCTGTCCAAAGTATTCTCATCATTGTCTATAATAATCCATTATTGGTATAAAATGTTGCTGGCAATTTTTTATCAACACAAATTGTTACTGGACTCATCTAATTAAAATCGGTATACTTAAGTGAGATCTTATATAAGATTAGTGTCCACAGCAGTCAGGGTAGGGAAGAAAACAATTCTATTGTGTATGCATCTTTAAAAAACAAAAAAAAAGCAAATCATGATTTTATAATGTTACCGTTTTCACTGTGTTCTCCCCTCTCCTATTTAATATATAAATAGAATAAAGAATTCAGCTTTAAAGCAGTCGACCCAGTAAAGTAATGAAGGTCAGTAGAATTCCTAGTCTGCTATGTTTAGGTTTGAATGGTACTTGTTTAAAGCGAGTTAACTCTTTGAGTCCCAAACAATGCATGATTTGTGAATCACTCTATCTGCTGAATCCTCTC